ACGACCGACTTTAAAAACTATATGCCGATGGTCGGCCGATGATCGAAGGTTGGTGGACGGACTATTCAATGAGTGCTTCAATTGAATCGGCCACAGACGAAAAAAATAACTTGACTCTACTGACATGCATAAAATTGGTCGGCCGACGAAAAAAAGAGATGAAAATCGGGCAAGACAGCGGCCGATAATATGAAACTTGTGTGGAAGCATCCTCAGGTAATGTAGATTCAAGTTTGTTCAAATCATTACCCCCGGGGGTAGGATGGGGCCACAGTGGGCTATCAAAATTTTACATAGGATAACATAGGAAAAATCTTTTAAAATCTTCTCAAGAACAGCAAAGCCATAATTGGTCATATTTATATAGAAGCATCCTCAGGTAGTGTAGATTCAAGTTTATTCAAATCAAAGTTTAACATACATGTAGGAATACATAGGGGAAATCATTAAAAAAATCTTATTCTCAAGAACAACAAAAACTCGATTGGTCATAATAAAATAAAAGCATCCTCAGGTAATGTAGATGCAAATTTGTTCAAATCATGACCCAACAGAGGGGCCAAACAGGGGATCATAGTTAAACAAAGGATTATAAAGGATATATCAATAAAAATTGCTTCTTTAGAAAACAAAGCCATTATTAGTCATATTAGTTCAAAAGCATCTTTAGATGGTGTAGATTCAAGTTTGTTCAAATCATACCCCCTCCACCCCCCTCCACTTTAATATTTAAACTTTTGAATACCTAAGTGATTTCTGCTATTTCCGAACCAAAGTGCTCAGGCGAGGGATGTGGCCCATAGGCCTCTTGTTTTTGGTGGATTTGTGAATGTAATTGGTTTGTAAATCACATTGAACTATGCTATTTCATGCAGCGTGATTGTGACGGTACATTTTGTCTTCCTGTTCATATTGTCGCCGGCGACAATGTGTACACAAACACTCACTGAGCATATTGTCGTCCATCAGTACATGTCGCATGACAATGCATGGCAATGTTTCCAGATAGATATGACTAATCATTGCTTTGCTGTTGTTGAGAAGAAAAAGTTTAAAGAATTTTCCTATATATTCCTGTGTAAAAATTTGATCGCCCTTTGTGGCCCCAACCTAGGCCCGCAGGTCATGATTAAAAGAAACTTGAATCTACACTACCTGAGGATGCTTCCATATAAACATCGCTAATCACGGGCCTACTGCTGTTCTCAATATTTGATCCAAAAATTTTAGAACGAGGAAAGGGGGGTGCGGTTCAGATTTTTTTTTTTTTTTTTTTTTTTTTTTTTTTTTTTTTTTGACAAACAAAAAAAAAATCGTTTGTGTGTGAAGGAGTGTTGCTGTATAAGTTAAGTATATTATTTTATCATGAAATTTTACCTGTGTACAAAATTGAGAGTATATACAGGTTAAAAAAAAGAATTTACAAAAGCAAAGAAAAATGAAAAACAAACAAACGGAGGGGGCAGGGTGGAATAGGGATTGGGGAGGGGGTGGGATGAGCCGGTGCTAGATCCGCCTTTTGTTCTTGAGAAGATTTTTAAAGAGTATACCGTATATTCTAACGGAAAACCTTTATCACAAATTGTGGCCCCACCCTACCTATGGGGGTTATGATTTGAACAAAATTGATTTTGTTTTTGTTTGTTTGTTTGTTGTTTTAATATCCCTCTAGAGAATTTTTCACTCATAAGAAGACATCACCACTTGCCAGTGGAGGGCCAAAAATTTAGACCTATTCTCGGAACTCAGGGCCATTGAAAAGTGTGAGATCTTTTTCGTGCCAGAATCTAAAAAATTAAAAGTATACTTCATGTAAGTATCATCTCTTCTGATCCAGAAGTTCTTGAGAAGAAAATTTTGAAAGAATTATTCTTAAATATTCTATTAAAACTTTGCTCACCTATTGTAGCCCACCCTTTCACAGACATGATCTGAATAAAAATGAATCTACACTTAATAATAATGCTTTCACATAAGTTTCAACTTTTCTGACACAATGGTTCTCGAGAAGATTATTTAAAGATGTCACTAAATTTTCACTAATTCTTAACTATACATGTACTTTCTTGAAAGAGGGCGTGACCATTAATTTGAACAAACTTGACTCCCTTTATCCATGTTTGCTTTCTGGTAAGTTTGGTTGAAAATGAAATTGGCCAGTAGTTCTTAAGAAGAAGCTGAAAATGTGAAAAGTTTACAGACAGACAGACGGACGACACAAGAAATGTGATCAGAAAAGCTCACTGGGGCTATCAGCTCAGGTGAGCTAAAAATGTGTCAACCCCTACACCAATATATCGGCACTTGTATGAGAATTAAGCAAAAAGATGAATTCCAGATAACAATTCTACTGAACAAATAACTTTCAATCTCATATCCATGTATATATAACGAGAATAATTGATAACTGATTTTTCAGATATCTCAAGAATTACGGTATTTTGACATATCGTAGTCATGTAAACCAATGCTGGACACAATTTTCTGAGCAACACCATTTCTCCCTACAGTATTGCGAGTAATGCTAAATAAATACAACTTGTTTACTTATCAGCAATACACTTTGTCCTTTTGTCTGTCTATCTCTCTCTCTCTGTGTGTATGTCTCTCTCTCTCTCATCACGACCTTAGTAAATATTCAACACACCATATCGGCGATAAAATGTGCCAATGGTCACAGTACATATTGTCGCCGACGACAAAACGTGCCGATACTTGACTGTACATTTTGTCTTCCATTTCGCAGGAGGAAGAAAAAGGTTCGTCTCGGTACAACTTGTCGCCGGCGACAATATGTATCGATGGACGACGATATGTGCAGTCAGGGTAGGTACATTTTGACGCCGACGACAATATGTTCAAAACGACAATATGTACCGTTACACCTCTCTTTTTGATGGCATCCTTAACGATACCTAAAACAACATAAGATTGTCCCTCGTAGTGTATACAATACAGTAGCGACAACGGACCGATGACAACGGACTGAATTTTCGTATCATGTCATGACAACGGACAAAAATTGAAATAAATCAAAATTTTCAGTTTTAATTTGTTCTCAATTTTTCTGTAAAGGCTTACAACATGTCTTGATACTGTCTGCACCAATTGGTGTGTATATTATATTCTATTTAAAAATATAACATCTCGGAAGGAAAATGAATGAAATCCACATGTGTTTTCAACAGGGTTTAATATCGCCAACGCAAACTCCTCTTTTATTACTTGTTTTTAACGGCTGAAATTCATACATCACCAAATAGGGTGTCAGCCCTGTTTCCCATTGCAATTTCAGACATTGTTATAGATAATTTAACTTGAAAAGTGAAAAACTTCTCACAGCCTCTCTTCTTAAGTCTTGACAACGGACGGATTTTATCATAACCTCATCTGTATGTTCATGACAACGAACCAGTTTTAGTGCTTAACTTTAAAGGTTTCTGACAACGGTACTGTCTAGGAACTTAACGTGTTCCTGGCCGTGTGAAAGTGGGTGATATTAATTTTGGTCCGTCGGTATTTCTGTCTGTCTGTAACACTTTCATTTCCGCGCGATATCTCGAGAAGCCTTTGAGCTTTTGCAATGAAATTTTACATAACTTCCGGTGGCCTAAGGAAGACCCCTACTGATTTTGAGGTCAAAAGTTCAAGGTCGTAAATGCAAACATTCTATATGTATGTAACACTTTTGCTTCCGGCGATATCTCAAGAAGCCTTCTGAGCTTTTGCAATGAAATTTTATACACCCTACCGCCTCTCTCAAACTGTCCCGCCCCGTTTTTTTTTTATTGTATTAAAAGTCGTGGTACTATTTTTAGCACAGGAACATGTGGAGAGTCATTGCATATACAAGTTGTCGGCGGACTTTATATTCTAATTACACCTATTAGAACTGTTTAGTAAAGGCTTAATTAGACATCATGTGTTGTGTAAAATTTTGACAATTTAAAAAGTGAATATAAACATGTAAATGTGACCTAATGTTTGCATTTAATTTGCTTTATAAGCAAGCGCCTCGTTGTTCTAGGGGTATGATTCTTGCTTAGCATACGAGGGATCTTGTGTTCAAATCCCGGACGAGCTCGTATTTTTTTAATTTTTTTTTTTTTTTTTTTTTTTTTGATTTACTTAATGATAGTATTCAAAATATAAAATGAAAATATTATGACGTCTGTCGTGTACAAACTTTTCATAAAATCATTATTACAGTGTGATAAATATTTTATATAAAAAGAATCTTCTGTACACATATTAAAGAATAAGCAATCAAATCTATGTACATTGTATCCATTTTGGCATTTTTATTTGCTTCAGTAAACATGTATACATTTAATAATTCTGCAAATCCATGGGGGGGGGGGGGGGGGGGGTCCGAACCCCCTAGATCTGCACATGCTCTTTTTTCCTTAAGCGGGGGACACATTCTCTGCATAACCTTGTAAATGTTATGTTTGGAAGTCCTATTAATGTATTGATTCAATAATTACTGTATAATCACATATTTTAAAGGGGGCAAATTTTTGGTGGATTGAGGAAAAAGTAATGGTTCAAGGTGATTTGATTCGCGGTTTGAGAAGTGTCTTCCGACGGTATTTTTTTTATATAAATGTTTGGTAGCCAATTAATAATTCAGAAAATACTCAAGCACTCAATCATGATTTCCCAAGTGATAATTGAAAAAAAATAATTATTAATAATGATACAGCTTTCAAGAATCACAAAGACTAGATACGTTTTTTTTTAAAAATATGTAATGTGTAATTTAAATGGTGACTATTCTACTGTAGTGCATTAAACGCACTGAAAGTCTTTTTGTAATATAGTTTGATTAAAGGGTTCTGGTAATCTAGTCCATGTTTTAAAGTTGGACATGTTCCAATAAAGACAGCTCTAGCCAGTGACTTTGCAATTTTACTTTGCAAATTGCAATCTTAATGTACGCATCAAATGTTTGCATTTCTAGGCAGGTTTCTTCAAAAGAGTTGCAGTAATTTACTTACCTGGGCAGCTGTACGACCAATAGAGTGTTTTATCGCATCCTTTACACGGATCTCCACCAAGCCAGGAGTTGCTGGCTTGAATCGTACAGGAGGAGCCATACCCACACTGAGAGTTCATTCTAGAGGTAACGGACGAACTTCCAGAGCAAAGCCAAGACGTACAAGACCAAGTTCCCGATGTGATGGTAATGTATTGACTCGAAGAGCATGACCTGGTCTGTGAATTTCCTTGAGACAGAGAGATACAATCTGAAATAAGAGAAGACATGTAACGTCACTGTTAGACACACGCTTGTCATATGAAAGAAACTAAACTACTTTTTGCAGCCATCTTGTTCACCTTTTTCGTCTCTTGCATTTTGGGAAAAGAGTACATGACGATACATGTTTTATTTTCATGAAGACATGAAATCATCTCATTATTTATAGCTTAGAAAATATATTTGCAGCTGTGTGTTCTTTAGTATTGTGTTTTGGACCTTATGTGTTGGAATAATGTGCGAGACTTTTCATACTTTTTTTCTGGCTGCAACAAGGTCTCTTTACTGATTAAAAAGAAAAGATTGATTGTATTGCTAAATGCTGAATCGGCAGCTTCAGCCATATTTCGGCGACTAGTAGTTCTGTCTGTCCTTTCGTCTCTGTCAAATACATGTATGTTTGTCTGTAAAAACTAAAACTAAAAATTTCTGTGAAATTCTTTCAAAATGCTAACCCTCCTACAGTTTAAGTCCGATTTCAATATAATAACTTGATACAAAGTAGACTACACTAAGATACATAATCCTCTTTATCGGTTTTTGACCTCAATGGATGGTGAATTCTTGGCTACTTAAAATGCTACTTCTACTACAGTTTTGTCAAATTGCAATTAAAATTGACTCAGAAACTAAACCAAAGATCATTATTTTATTTATCGCTGTTGCTATATTTTCAAGTCTATAAGTTTTACCTTTCTCTAACTTTGTTAATGAAGTAAAAACCAGAGGAGCTACAGTCTCGTAATAGACTTCTGATTTTTGTTCACTTCTGAAAATAATCCTATTAAAAAATTATTTTCCCTCATGAGGTTTTTGGCATATGTACCAGGGCTGATCGAAAAGTAACGTCACAACTGCTATAAAATCTTTAATTTTTTTTTTTTTTTTTTTTTTTTTTTTTTTTTTTTTTTTTTTTTTTTTTGATTAAATAAAACTTTTTTTTTTAATATTAAAATAAACACAACGTTAGGTTTTGTCTATCGCCGCACGGCAAGAATGTTACCGACGTTGTAATGACATTACTTTTCAGCACTCATTTTCAGTTTAACCGCATATCTTTTTAACCTCTCAGGTGCTTCTTTAATAATATTTTCTGCCATGCATTTGGCTATAAACCGTCTTGTTTTTGGTTGTAATATTAAAATTATATGAACTTTGTCCAAATGTTATTTCTAAATTCACTCCTTTTTGCGTAAATCTTAAGTATCATTAGATTCAAAATGAGTGTCGATGAGAAACATCATAAGGACGTCGATACATTTTTGCCGTACGGCGATAGGCGAGATCCAACGTTGCGTTTATTTTAATAATTCATAAAGTATTGTAAATATTTGAATGAAACTTTAGGACAAAAGTCAAAATCATTAGAGGTATTAGCATATAAAGTTTGTTGAAAGATAACTTTTAAAGTTGCATTTCCTTCTTATAAAGGAATATGTCTCGGGAATTTCCATGGATTTAATATATTAATTATTCAAGTGACTTTTGCAATATGACATTACTTTGCCTATAAAAACGGAATTTGAATTTCCTTGTTTACTTATTTGGGTAAAAAAAAACCAAACAAAAACCAAAATACAGGCTAAACCAGTAGAAACTATTAATTCGTTTGATTAAGATAATAACTCTATGTAAAATCTTATACAAAGTAATAGTAGTTTTCCCTTGGCCATTCTTTCCTTTTAAATTTATTGAAGTATTTGTTTTTGGTTTTTGAATAAAACAATTTTATTAGTAGAGGGTGCTTTATACTTGAGGAAAAAAAACCATGTTAAGTTTGCCAGTGTGATAAATTATTCAAATTTACAATAACATACAGCAAATAGACCAAAGAGATCAAAAAAGCAACATTTCTTACAATTAATAAATATTCATAATAAATAGAAACTTTTCTCACCATTTTCTTGAATTAAAAGCAAAACCATCAAAGTAACAGAAGAAAAATACATTATCCCCATGTTAATTATTTGAGTAAATTGTTCGTCTTTCATTGACCTGGCTGTTAAATAATGCTTTAATCTGACTAGAACAATTGCACAACGTTAAAGATTAAAGTGTGTCCTGACAATCTACATGATCTTAGACAAAGAAATGCTCAATTTTAATACTTGATGTGATAAATATCTTGATTAATGACATTTTTAAAAGACTGACGTATATTGCTTTGGAAAGGTTCGATATATAGCACCCATGTACATGTAATTACAACGAGATAAAAAACAAGTACTCTTCCTGTTTGAAACAAAGAAGAGAGTGAAAGACTAAAAAATGCAGATATAGAAAGGAAAGATTGACCTTTCAGCTTTTCGCCTTCAAGTAACTAGGGGTTTTCATAAGTTTAAAAAATCCATGACCTTAAAATTCATTGAAAACTCTTAAAGTGTTACATGTATAATCTGAAAATTGTGAAAGTAACAAATGAATTTCAGGTATTGGCCTTTAAACTTTTGACCTAAAAATCAATAGCAATGTTGTTTAAGTCATTTTGGCTCATGATATAGTAGTTCATTGGAAAACTTTAAAGAAATTTAAGTTATCATGTTTAAACCATTTTATTCAAGATGTAGATTTCTGACCTTCACCTTTTGACTTCAAAATTAATAGGGGTCTTCTTTAAGTCACTGGAAGTTAAGATATAAATTTTAATTGCACAAGCTCGAAAAGAACTGAAAGTTGTCGTCTCGAATACATTTTTGCAATACTTTCATTTCTTACCTTGACCTTAAAATCTACAGGGGTCTTCTTCAATTCACAGGGAATAAGGATATAAAATTTTATTGAAAAGACTCAAACGGAAATAAAGATATCATCTGGAAACTATTTTATGCAAGTTAAAAATCATCTGACTTTGACTTTTGACCTAAAAAATAATAGAGGTCTTTCAGCCATTGAGGTTATGATATAAAATTTTATTTCAAAAGCTCAAAGAGGACTGGTTATCATCTGGAATCCAATTTTTGTAATATTTTCATTTCTGACCTTGATCTTTAAACTTAAAATCTACAAGAGTCTTGTTTAAGACACAGAGAGTTACGATATAAAATTTCATCAAAAAGGCTCAATTAGAAAAATTTATAGATTGGAAACCATTTTTAGCAATATCTGAATTTTCTGACCTTGAACATTGGCCTTTTGACCTCAAAATCAATTGAAGCCTTCTTTGAGCCATGAGTTATTAATATGACATTAAATTTGGTAGCAAAAGGTCAACGGTTTTTTTTAAGATATCGTCCGGAAACGAAAGTGTCCACACAGACAGATAGAAGGACGGACAAACCCAAATCTATATCTCCTACTTTCAAGGAAAGCAGGGAACAACAATATAGTCATGGATGTCCTTTGGTAAAAAAATGATCCATATATCAAATCTCCAAAATATTTTTTTTTAAATTGTAGATTTTCTATGATGTTAAAGTTTCTTCCCTTTTCTATCTTTTAACGAATTTATGCAATTTTTATCACATGATTGATAAACTTTGAATGAAAAATGAAACTTTATGCAGCTAAACTTATTCATTTCATACGCATCATAATATTAACAGCATGTCTCAGAGAAAATCATGCAAAATGGTCCGGAAGCAAGTTTCTCTGATTGCCTTCAAACTTTGTGAGCCAAATCTAGTATGCATAAATAGAAATCAGACAAATTTTTATCGTGCTAATCAAACCCGTATAAGTAGTATGGCCTGTTACTAAAATAGCTCTTATGCAACAAAATTTGAGGTAATATTTTTAATTTTTTAGTCATATTTAGAGAAGAAATAAAATTGTAAGTCTAAAAATTATTCAAAGATTTTATTTTGTATTAAAAGAACAAAGGTTAGTTCCTCTTAGATGCATAGTCAGTATGATTGACATCCATTTTGTTTAAGTGCAAAAAGGTCATAAAATTGACACTGTTCCAATTTTTTTAAAAAAGTGACATTTTTCTGTAGAATTGAAATAAATCTAACAAATAAAGTGGATATTTTAATCTTGTAAATTTTATTGCTTATTGTTAAGGATGGTTATGTTAACAAAATATGAAAAAAAACTACTGTTGGCAAATTTGCATTTTAATAAAAATTGAATGTCAAAGTTTGTCAAATTTTCACATCAAAGATTTCATAAACACAGTTAGCGTTGCTCATAAAATACCTAAAAACTTCTCCAAAAATACAAAAAAAAAAATTTCTAGAGTTTTTCATATCTGCAATTTAGAATTTAAACATACATTACTCAGAATTTAAAAGATAATGATTTTGAATCCAAATAATACATCAAAAGGGAGGGGGGTGTATTAATGAATCCCCTATAATCCATTACATCGATAATGTGCAAGCCTTTAAATACTCGTTTACTCAGAATAAAAGAAATCCACCGATGACAATCAAAACTCAGCTATTGAATTACTAAGGCAAATGTATGTATTGATGACCTACCTTTTTGCTATTAGCCAATGAATTTATAGCATGGATTAACCATTTATAGATGTGAATTTTTGAATGTTAATACTTCAATCTTTTGACAATATTTTTTTTTGAAAGCAGATAAATGAAACATTTCATCACATGAATTTATCAGTTATGGTTTGCTCTTAAAAATGACATACATTTTTATTTTTTTAAAATTTCCTCTGTTGATCTTTACATATAGAAAGCACCATAAAAGAAATAAAAATAAAACACAAAGTGGGTGTCAATGATCAAAATTTTGAGATATTTTGTTATAAAATAATCTGAACTTCCTTTGTTATTTTTCAATTTTATATGAGTAAACAAGTACCTTAATTACCTTTAATACATGTATAGTTGTATACATACTTACATAATATTTACAGAAGTAAACACATCATTCAGCAGATGAGTCATTTGATCAA